AATCTGTACAGATTCTAAACAGCATAAAGACACTTTTAACGTTCAAAAATCACATGAATTCAGACAAGCTTCTTTTTGAGAGGGGTGTTCCCTTTTGCATACGCCTTAAGTAGTTTGGGAACAGAATACAAGAAAATAAAATAACTGCTGGAAGAAATCAAAATTTAAGACTGGTAATATTTTTTTCCAATAGTGGTTAGCCAGAAGATAATAGCTGGGATTACATATCCTGCTAAGCATGGCTGCTAACTATTAATGTGGGTTCTTTGTTTTCTCTCCCTTTCACTGCAAGCAGGACAATAGTTAACAAAATGTGTATAACTGCATAGATGTGGTGGAATGTAGTCTGGAATCCCAGGAGGGAGGGGTTGCTTCCAAGAGGTCAAAGAGGCTGCACAGCTTGAAGAATTTGGTAGGCAGGAAGAGAGTTAAGGCGGCCACTCCCTAGCAGTTTACAGAGTATATCCATTTTGTACATATAGTTGCTTTTAAGCGGTACAGGTGAATAACAATAAACAAAACTACTAGCTTTATATATAAAGTAGCTTTATATGTCGTTCTTGGTTCTTGAGCCTTATGAATGACTTGTGAAACCAAAAAACATGAATGAATTTATTCCTCGCAAGCAGCAGTTGTTCTGCCATCTAGTGTTGATGACTTTTTTGCGGGGAAGAGAAAAACACCTTTCCGATTTCTTTTCTGATTTAGTGTCTGTCCAATTTGATTATTTGAGGCTGAAATGTAACTTTACCAGATTGTGATGTTTGTTTCGCATATAAGTTGGAAACGTCTTTGTTTTATTCTATATCTCTGTATTTTAAAGCAATGTGCTTCTAATTCCCTTTGCTTTTCAATCAAAGACCACAACAAAATTTGGAATAGTTTTTAAAAATGCATATTTCAAGAATGATTTTTTTTCTCTTGAAAGGTTTCACCAAGCAAAGCTGATTCCAAGTGTGATACTGAGGATAAAGTGAGTGTCTTTCTCCTTGCAAATTCAACATTTGTGGGTTTTCGGGGGGCAGAGGGGAGAGGTTACCTATCTAGGTATTTCAGGATTGATTCATACAAACATCTCATCCTAAATGGGAAAGCACTGCATCTGATATGAAGTTGGATGATTTTAAAATCCATATGTGATTGAATTTGCATTATTTTACTTATTTCATTTCACTTATTGAATCTACTCTTATGATGTTCAGAACTGCATATATGATCCTCATTTATTTTACCTTCAGAATTGCCTTATTATTCTTGGAGGCCATACTGGACAAGGGGAGGCTGCTAATTTGAGGAAAGCTATTTTAAATTATATCAGACAAGGAGCTGAGTTCAATTCTCATTAAGCATGATGCTCATGATGGCTAGGTTCACTCATCTCTTTCATGTTGGTTTCCATTGTTGTAAGAATGGAGTCTCTTGTGGTTTATATCTATACCCAGAGAGGTTTTTGGTAAGGCTGTGGCCTCATCTACTAAAACTCTTGTGTCTTTTTGATTGTTTGTAACCTCCAATTTGACAAAGCTCATTTTACATTTACATTTAATCAGTGTAGCTCCAAGGGACTAATTAACAGTATGTGCCCGAAATCAAAAACTCATGAGACTTATGGGATTGAAACTTGGCAAAGTTGTGGCCACTTCAGTGTTATCATATCACCACACTGCTGTGGTCCACTATGGTCACGTGATTGTCATTTCCAACATTCCCTGCCAGCTTCCTACAAGGAAAGTCAATGGGGAAGATGGCAGGAACCACTCCCACTGCTTTTTGGCCAATGGTCATTCTGTTTTTCTATTTAAATAAGGAAATACCTCTGAAACAATGACCCAACAGGTCACAAGTTGCTAGTTTAATAGCAGATTGTGCATGAAGATGGTGGTTCTACAGATACATCTGGCATCAACCAGCAAAACTTTGAGATTAAGGGTACAACAGGATGAAGCAATCAGTTTGAAAGTCAAACCTGCCCCCCAATTGGAGGCCTCTTTCCCCATTCATTATCTCAGCCTTTGCACTCTCTCTTTCTCTCTCTCCCTCTCTCCCTCCCTCCCTCCCTCCCTCCCTCTCTCTCTCTGATTTTTAATGACCCCATAATCCCTTGCATCCGGGTGGAGTAGGGGCAAATGAATGGAGCTGAGTATTTAGTGGCCAGATGCCCTTCCTGTCACCAATGCAGAGTTCGCAGAAGATATATTCTCATTGTAGCCAGAGAGAGAAATATCTGCCTCTACCTAGCCTCCTGATTGTGATGTGAGCGCTCCACCTCTAGGCCACCGCACCACTCCCTTTCCTATATCTCAGTGTTGCAATAAAAATAAAATGGAAGAACAGGGTAGTGTGTGGGTTGTGAGTTTCTGGGGAAATATGGTTTCATTTAACAATATATTGATCTGATACGCCACCCAGATTTCAACAACTCTGAGTTCTTGGTTTCTATTTTGCTGGAAATTCACAGCTGATCTTTTTCATAATATTTTTGTCTTCTGCCAAAGCTATGTACTTACAAAAGTAAAGGCAAAAAGTGTGCAACTTATATCCAGCAGTGTTATAAATTTTGGGATGAATGCAGCTTCATTGAAAAGCCCCAATGAAAAAAATCTTCAAACCTTACTATAAAGTCTACAATAGGCCAGGCTCAAGTCAAATATTTGTAGCCATAATCAAAAATACCCTGTCTCTTTTATTAAGAAATTCTCAAAGGGGATCTTATGCTCTATAGGCAGGATTGTATACATTGAGGCAATTTTTCAAATAACCTGCTCTCTATTTCACTGTTAGGACCAACACTGTGAATTCTTTATAAGACCTCCATGCTTAAGTAAAATTGTCCTTCCCTGGGTTTTTGTTGATTTTTGTTGCAATATAGCTGTGATGGCAAACCTTTTCAGCACCAAGTGACGAAAAGGGAGTGTGCCTGCTCGTCTGGGACACAACCTTGAAAAGGAGCTGCCTAAAGGGGTGTGTGCATGCCGGAAAATGAACTTCTGATTTCCGGTGCGCATGTGTGCTGGCCAGCTAGTCTTCCGGTTACTGGCGTGCATGCACATGTGACTGGCTGGCATGTGTGCTCACACTGGAAAACAGAAGACCACTCTTCCAGTTTCTGGCACTGCCACATGCACAAAGGCCAGCTGATCATCCCACGTGCGTGCGCGCCAAAAAACCTGGAAGAAGAGAGCAGAAGAGCTAATAATTGGTTTTTATCTTTCTGGGAGTTGATGGCAAGAGGAACTGATGTAATTATTACTTAATACAATACAATATTGGCTATGTAATAGTATACATGTGATTATATGTTATGAAAATGGAAAATAAAAAAACTGTTTGTCTAGAAAAAAACCTGGAAGAGGTACTGGCAACACCACACATGCCAGG